AGGACATTCACTGATGAAGCAGTTGAACCCCATATGAAGCTGAAGCCAATGAGACGGAAACCTGTACGGAAGAAGATACGTTCCGTAAAATTAAGAGACTTTGTTGAATTGTAATTTTGTGTTTGTAATTCTGTACATTTAATTAAGTTATTGTTAATTGTTATTGGTTTATTGTAAGTGGCAATTGTTCGGGACGAACAATACTAAGGAGGGAGCAGTGTTGCGTCATCGAGGTCACGTGACTGGTGTGGCACCACCTATTTTCTAGAACTATCCTGTACCTTGGCGAATGCCCTAGTATTTACTAGATATAGGATAGTCTGGTATATAAAAGAGGGTGACAACATGACGGGAGAATAATATGTGTGTATAGGTAATGAGTAATTGAACTGCAGTCAGAGAGAGACGTATTGTTGAAGTTAACGTTCGTTATAGTGGTTGTTTTAGCGCGAATATTAAAATAAGTGTATCGTGAAATGCTATTCAGAAAGAATAAACCAGTTTTATTAAGTAAGGACTTGTGTCGCTAAAGTTTTGTCGGAACGAAATTACGGAAAGTTAATTGACAAACAGAGACGTAACAATATATATTTATATAAACATTGAATCCCATTCCTAACAAGCTTGTAGTCCAAGATCTTTTGGCATACATTTAGAAGTGCTCAGCCAGTATGTGTGCGAGGTATTTTCTCAGAGTTAGTTATTTGATTGGATGTTGTTATTTTCTACATATGATGTTCTTTCTATCAGCTCTAAATTGCACCTTTGAAGAAGATGAATGTGGATGGTATCCACAAAACAAGAATGGTACTAGAGAATGGCTACGAGGGAAAGGACAGTCCAACTATGGTGTAACTGGGCCTTCTACTGATCACACTACAGGAAGAGGTTCTTATATAAAATAAAATTACAATGAATAATATTTAATTCATTATAGATATAATCACTTAATGATCATTAATAATTTAGACCAAAATTACAGTCTTCAAAAAAAATATGTATATGTAAAGTAGTGCTTAATTATTCCTGTAAAGTTACTATTACATTATATTTTTAAGTCTTGCCATAATTGGCAATAAATTTAATAAGTAATTTTATGTCACTTCTAATACTATTTGAGTTGATGGTATGACTCAAGTAGGCCTTGGGCTAAAGTCTTGATGATCATTCAAAAGTAAACCTGGCAGTTAAGGTGCTCAATTCACAATCTGTGGGTCATTAGATTGAAACCTATCACTGAGCATGCTCACTCTTTTAGACATTGGTGCATTATAATTTGACAGTCAATCTCACTGCATTTTTAAATAGTAGCCCAAGAGTTTGCAGTAGGTGGAGGGGACTAGCTGCTTTTTACTGTAATCTGTCACTTCAAAACTAGGGATGGCTAGTGCAAATAGCCTTTAAGGAACTTTAAGCAGAATTTAACACACAAACACACAGGCACTCATAAAATAATTTATGGAGCTGTTTTTGCATCAGTTTCTAGCTCTAGATAACAGTACAGATCCAAAGCTTCAGTTCAGTAAATGAAACAGCCAGAAATTGTGCAATAATACACAAGTTCTAGCTTGGCAATTGTTATGATTAAACTTATGCCTTTTTTTAAATTTTAAAAGAAAAACGTTTTCAACTTCAACATTACTGTTCAACACATGCTAGTTTTATTTCTGATTTTTATTGTTGTACTTTATAAGACAAGAGGGTATTGTAATATAACAATAATACATTGGTAATTGAAAACTGAGTTTATTTAAAACAATGTACAAAACTTGTTGCTTCTTATAACAATTTACTCAGTTCTTCTTAAAATAATAAAATAAGCAGGCAGCTCAGTCAGAAATGTACAAACTAAGAAAAATTTATTAAATTCAATAATTTTATTTTCATTATCTAATTTCAAAACATTTTACATATTTAAATTGGCTAATATAAACATTTGAATTTGATAACATTTAAGGCTTCTTGTTAATGATGAAATAGAAATTATTGTGATGAATATCTTTAAAGATGATGGAAACTGTAAGCAAAAATATTGGCTTAATTCTTTAATAAATAACATTACTAATGACTTGTAGTCTGCTATAACAGTGTTGTTCTTTAAGAGCGACTTCCCTCATAAAATGTGTGACACCAAAATATAGTAGACATCACATGTAAAGTTATTTGAAAACAAGAACTAATTATTGCAAAGGCTTTACCAAGTTTTTCTAAATTTAATTTGCTTGCTGCATCAATAAATTATGTTATTTTAAGTTGTTGTTTTGTACAGAACTGAATAAGTTGTGTAATGTAAAGAAAAAACCTCTAGAAGTCATTAGGTAGTGCCTTGTGTCCTTGTATCCATTTACCCATGATGGAAATTTTTTAACTTCCTTATTCCTGATCATCATGAAACTTTGAGTGGTTCTTGTGTATGCATCAGGAAGATTCTCAAACCCCTTATTTTATTCATGACTTTGATACTGCTGTATTGCCAGTGAATGAGGCACATGCACACTGTTTTTCTATCCATGTAAAGCCAACAAACTAACTGCTATGCCTGATGTGGGTATCTTTGCTAGTAATGATGGTGTGCTTGACAAATTCAATAGGATTTTTATTTTCAATTTTCTTAACTAATTCTTTTGTACTTAAATGGAAAAGTAAAAAAAAATATTCACCATAAAAGTTTTAGTTACTTTAATTCAACATTATGCTTTTATCTAGTTGTTCTCTGAGTATTTGTTTATATTCTGTCGACTACTGTTTAGTTGTTGTACTAATGAATGTAATCCTGTTTAGATTTTTGTTGTTGTTGGAAATGGATTACACAAAAATTTATTTGTAATTTTTGAAATAGAAGTAGTAACTAAGGTGCAGTTAGATTATATGGTTCCAAATACATTCTGTGCATTTTCATCTTGTTACAGTGAGATTATGTTATGATATTGTATGCGGATTCTGGTAATTACCAGGAGATCACATGGTTAGAATTATTAGGTATTTCATATTTTATTTAATAAACTATAAAGTGATAACTATTTTACAGTTTTGTGTTAAGTAATTCATGTAATCTTTCTTTAAAACATTGTGAGTGTATTTAATTTTTGTAAAGCATCTTTTTATTTTATTTTTCCCTTCATGTGAATGTTTTAATTTTTTGAAGTTAATAGTGATGATGCACTAACTGAATATGATTTTATTTTAATCATATAGGATACTATATGTATATCTCAAGGTATGAACAGTTTGCAAAGGAAGGAGACAAAGCTTACCTTATTTCTAGTATTCAATCACCATCTGATGGTCGTTGTCTCATGTTCTGGTACCACATGTATGGCCAAGGAATTGGAACTCTTAATGTCCAATTTCAGTCACAGAACAGTTCACAAACAGTTTGGACAAAGTCTGGTTCACAAGGAAATACATGGCAACAATCCCAAAAGTCAATTATTAGTAAGAATAATTATCAAGTACGTACTTTCAAACAATGTTATGTTTTATACTGGGAAAAAAAAATTCTTGGTGTTTCAGTGTGGTAACTTTTAAAAAGCAGAACAATTTTTAGACGTAAAATGGTATTGCTTCAGTTTTAGTGTGTTTAATGGCCTACTCACTTGTATTCAAATTACCATTTTTTGTTTCTTGTTCTTATTATTTTTTAAATTTATTTCCAGAGTCATTCTGTTGCTTATAGTTCAATAATATTTTTATGTGTGTGGAAAAATAATCAAAAATGGTATCTCCTTAATAGATCTTTTTGCTTTAAGTTTTTATTTGTTTGATAATTAGAGTTTTTATTAGCTATCAACTTGTTATTAACAGCAAGGGTATCCAATTGTTGAAACAATGCATTCTGAACTTTATAAGTCAGAATTTAAGAAAAGTATATTCAGTTAACTATGCTCTTGACTAGGTTTATTCTTAGTTGTTGTTTTTTAAATCTAGGTAGGTAACTTGCTTTGATAGGAAGCTTTGATACTTATATTAAATACTTTACCATAAGAAATTTTCGACTTCCCATTAATTAGTCATTTGGGCAGTTATATTTTATGATATATGTGGTTTTTGAAAATTTTCAAGAAAATTCATTTTGAAAATTCAAAAGATAGTCAAAATAAGCAAAGAATTAATTAAATCTTTAAAGACTGAGGAAATGTGCAGCATGACAACCAATAGTAAAACATTAGACATTTGCAGAATCTCTACGTAATAAACTAATAAATATAAGGCACTGGAAGGCACCTCATTGTTTAATTTTTATGAAAAGGGATTTTAACAGATTAGCCAATAAATTAGTTAAATTAGACTTAAAATAGCAGCCATATAAATGAGTTCAACAAAGAATAATTTCAATTAACTTTTTTTTTGCTACAAGTTAAGACACAACAGTGATGATAATATTCTCTTAAATGAATCAACTTTCATTGCCCTGAAGGTCAGAATGGAAACTTATTACTAAAAATCAAGAATAAGAAAAAACTAAAGCAATAAAAATGTTAATTGATGAAAATACAATGTTCAGAAATCTGACAAAAAATATTGTAGTTTTAACATATTTAGATGGGATAGTTGTGCAACATTTTAATAATGATAATACTTTAGAATTTGCTAGAGAGCTGAATTTTGTTCAGTAATAGAAATAAAGTTAGGTATTGTCTATTTTAATATGTTAGAGAACTGTATGAAAAAGAAGTGGTATTTTCAAAGTATTTTGTCCCATAATACTCTAGCATATCAGATCATAGAATATCATTGGTGTCCATATGGATCCAGTCAGCCTTTTAAACACATTTTTCTAAATTATTTATATATTTTATATATAAAATTGCTTATGGACGAGTAAGTGGCACAAAAATTAAACAAGAGGGAATCCTCAAATGCTGGGGCACTTGAAATTCTTTTAGGCAGGATTAAATTAATTTATGAGACCTTTTTTTTTTTTATTAGCTATATTTTTGAGCACCAGCAGTACCAAGCATGGAGTGTGCATATACCTGATTCAATTTTATTACTTATCAGGATCTCTACCAGCCTACTCTCAAATTGAAATTTTTTAGGCAGAATTAAAGTAAATTAGAGTAAATACATCAACCAAAAGAGTTTGACCTCCTGAGTCCAAAACTGTAATTAGATCTCAAATCTGTGAAGAGATGATGGAGCTATGAGCTAAAAGTTTGTACTCTAAAACCTCGGAGCCATTCTATGAGCTGCTTTGCCACATCTAAAGATATCATCAGTATTGTAATTGAGGCCATTAATTACTGCTGGGGTCCTATGTGTATTTTATGTATGGAATGGGGGATTTCTCTCACTTTGGTTTTGATCAACTCAAATACAAAATTGCTCAATATTATGCAGTATATGGATCCCACCAGCAGTGAATGGCATTAAAACAAGGTAATAATTATAGGGTTAATAAAAATGCAGTATGGCACATCTAAAATTTCAGTCAGTGAATTAATCTTATCATATATATAAGACATGATTTGAATAACAAAAACAAATGTGAAAATGCACGTATCAAAAAAGAAACTCGTGTAGTACTTTAATAAGTACATTTTTGAAACCACATTTAGTGGGCTACCTTAGTAAATGACAAATTAGGGATTTTATGCAGTTAATTATAATTTCTCAGTTATTATTTTGTAAAATAGATTTAATTACTGGATTCTGTTAGTAAGCGTACTAGTGGGTTTTAGAATTTTTTGATATAGTAGGTATAATACAGAAAATGTTATAGTAAAAATAATGTTGTTAATTCACTGCTCATCTGCTGTTATTTATAGTAATTATTCAAGAAAATAAAGAAGATTATGAAGAAGCTAAATATCATACAAACTGTTGACAAAAGTATTCCAGGAATTAAATTTCAATTCATAACATTATTTTAAATGTTTTATATTTTACTTTGTGAACACAAAAGTATGTTATAGGTTCAGATTAGTCCAATAACAGAAAATAACTTCAAATATAATAAAACATATATCATAACTTTTTGCAAAACAGTTAATCATTCTTGACCAATTAAGTATAAATTATGCATGATGGACAGTTTTTAATGATTGTACAACATCAAACTGAAACAGTCATAGTAGTTTAAACTTCTTCCCTTTCAGTGGAATCCAAACTGTATTTTAAAAAAGGAAGTTTCCAATGTTAGCTTTAATACTGAATTATATTCTTTAATGTTAAAGCAACACCTTAGAAAACAATCAGTAATTCCCATAGTGACTAGTCTTATAAGAAGATACAGTGTCTTAGTGAATATTTTATTCCTTTACTATTTACTCATAGCTTGTCTTTGAAGGTGTTTTGGGAAGTAATCGTAGGAGAACCATTGCTATTGATGACATTGTTGTCCTGGAAAGGGCATGCCCACCCCCATGTAAGTCAATATATTATACTTTAATGTGTTCAAAATTTGAAAAATTGGTTTTTTGTTCAAAGATCTGTAAGATAGCAGTTAAAAATGTATATTGCAGATTTTTTGTTTAAAAGTCTGTTGCAAATTTGTTTTACTTACCTAAAAATGGGTAATTTTATGAATATTAGCTCTAGAGGTTTATTTACAAAACTACATAACTTTGTACTTCATACTACAGTAAACTATTAGATACTGCCATATAATTATTAATATGATCAGTTAGAATTTTTTTTGCTTTCAACATGAAGTGACATGTGACTTTGAAGCTGACTTTTGTGGGTGGAAAGCAGAAAATGTGCAACTTACTACTGGAAAAGATGCAGGGCAACCAGAAGTTGATCACTCAACAGGCACAGACACAGGTATTACAGATTCAGTGAACAAAATTGGGAGAGTTTTTCAATGTCTTCTTGCGGTAACTCATCAAATTATAGCACTTAGTAAAACAAATATTAAATACATCCTTTAAAATATATTTGAGATTTTTTTTGTGTAGAAAAATAGTTCTTCAGTTTTGGTTTAAGAAATAACTTCTCAGTGTGATAAATATTTATATTGGAAATTACAACAGTAAAAATATTATTATTGAATCACAAGTAGTGTGTTAAGTCCTTTAAATATTATGTTTTTGAAAATGACTTTTTGCTGTCTATACTTATGTATCAAATGGTTTAAAGAATATGTTATTTCACTAACCCTTTTTAATTTATCAAAAGGTATGTGTGTTTAATAATTATTCAAACTTTTTTATAAGTATGGTTGTGAATTGATGTCTTTTGTTTTAAAATTCAAACAATAACTCTACTCTTTCTTTGTGGTTTAGGAAAATATGTTCTGTTTAATGAGGCAAATGGTGTTCTTACAAGCCAAGACTACAATTTGACCTTTGGTACTCGCTGCCTTCATTTCTGGTTTTTTCTTGAGGGAAAGAAAGATGATAGATTACAAGTAAATTTGGTTGAGTCTACAAGGGATGGAAATGAAAATAACATCATCTGGGTAGAACAAGGATATGAATCTCTGAAAGGGGAATGGTTGTATGTTATGGTGAACTTGGATATCACTAACCCACCTTATAAGGTGATTTTTCTATCAGGATGAATTTTTGTGTTTGTTGTTTTTATTATTAGTCAATGAAAGATCTTGCACAGTATAAGGTATGAAATAATACTGTTTTACTCAGCAGTAAGTCTGATGGTTTATAATGCTAATAATCAAGTTTTGATACCCATGGTGGTCAGAACATGGATTGCTCATTTTGTAGTTTTGTGCTTAACAACAAACAAAAACTTATTATTTTTTATTCCATAATATTATGAACTGTAAGATTTTTTTCAGATAACCTTTTTGTATCAATAATCAACTGTTAATTTAAGCCATCATCTTGATTGTTTAAAGATATGCTTTTTTACCTAAATTTATGATAAATAAAAAAAAAAAAGAAAATTGAGATTAACTGTTTATATACATATAGAGTTAACTTGCTTAAGTAATTTCAATCATTCATCTTCTGAAGATTAGTTCCTAGACAATTTGCTAGATTGCTAAACATAGAAAAATGTTGCTCAAACCATTAGACTCTGAGTTCATTAACAACTAGTATGTTTTGATAATGTATTGTTAAAATAAACAAACATGGAGAAGATTAAGCAATTATTCTATAAAACAATGTACATAAATAGAACTTTATATTTTTAATGATATTTGAGTGTATCATAAATAAAATCAAATGAAAACTACTAGAATTTTACTGAATTTGCTGTATTTATTAAACTGTAATTTTAACTTGTTATAAAAATTAGGTTTTTCTAGTTGTTATGCACTATATATATATGCATTGTCTTCTCTATTAGGTAATATTCTCTTCAGAAAAGCAAAATGCTGATTCTGTGATTGCTCTCGATGATCTGAGAGTTGGAGATGATGTATGCCCTTCCCCAGGAAGCTGTAACTTTGAACATGATTTATGCACTTGGAAAAGTTTACCAAAACCTTGGAGTACAGGTCTGGTATGGCTACGAAATTCAGGTTCTGTGCCATCTTCATGGACTGGTCCAACCTCTGACCACACAACTGGAACATCACTAGGTAAAGGCTTCTTTGTAAATGAAACTGTTTGTACTTTAGTATATAAAAAATTTCCTACAAATGCATGCTGCAATGCTTGTATTAGTCAGGAAAAGTGTAACTTAAGTATTAACACCTGTATTGTTAATATAAAGCTATAGGCAACAGTGCCTCCAGTTCAGTTTGGGACATGATGGTAGGTAAAACAAAATACATGGGCTAGCTGACTAATGAATGAATGTTTGCTGTAAAACTCTCATCAATGCTATAAGTGTAGCTACCAGTTTGGCCACCAATTTTGATTTTATTCCTTTAAGTCGCTCGCTGAATCATTTTTTGGTCACACCTTTTTTTCACACATAAGGTGATTTTGATTAGATATTATGACTTTCTGTCAATACACACCAACAAACCACACCAAATAACAAAGTGACACTCGACAATAACCAACATTAGTTCTAGGATCGCAACCCTATTATTCAGAACAGACCTATACCTTACAGAACCAACCGGATTCTTTAAAGTATATGGTGGTAGTTTTTTTCTCTAAAACAGTGTTAATAGCTTCCTTTATACTAATGCCATGGAATTTAGGTTAACAATTTCTTGTCTGCACTCCCATGCAATCGGTACAGCTGTATCAAACATCATTATTTACACTAGCTGCTTAAGCATGTGATGCTAAATGCTCTTTAATTAGGAGAACTTCATAAAATTTAAGAAATTCTGTGCTTAATTAAAAGTTGACAATGAATAATGAATAATAACCATTCATCCTTATGATTCTTTTGAAAACTTGAGCTAGAAACTGCTAATATAGTTTGCTTGGCCTAACCAATGCTTATGTATCTGTACATGCTTTTACCCTATATTTTTGCTGTTGTAAATCAGCAATCTTTAATCTGAATGACAAAAAACTAAAAACAGTCCACTTTTACTCTTAGGTGAAGCTGTAGTAAATATTTCAGACTGATAGCTCACGTGACTTTTTTGCATAGACATGCATAAATATTTGGGTCAAAATCAAGCAGTTTTTTTTATAACTTTGCACATGTGACTTGGATTTAGATCAAATTTGACACCTAATTCTAGGTTGTATAAATCTATCAGTGTACCAAATTTGAAAAAAATCCATGAAAGAAGTGTATACTTTCAGTGCGAAGAAGAAAAAAAAATTCTATCAAAATTGGAAATTGTATATCTTGTGTATTTCTTAATGGATTGCCTTGAAATTTAGTGTGTGAAGTAAGAGTCCAGTATAGTACATCACCAAAAATATGTGTTAGTTTGTATTACCACAGTCCGAGGTACAGAAAGTGGAAAAGTGATCAATTATCACTCCCGTTAATAACACACAGTGTGTCCTGCATGTTGTTTTGGCTGCATGACACACTACCATGTGTCTTGATGTAACACCAGAGTTGGTGAAAAAAAAATGTCTGCTGATTATTTTACACTTGTAATATTGTATCTTAATAGTGTAACATATATGTTTTTAAAGAAAAAAGCAAGTGTATCTAGCATTTAAGATTTTTCTTGGTAAAACAATGTACATTGTTTTTGGATTTTTGAAAACATTGTTCAAGTTATTATAGATGTACATATAGTTGTGTCTAATATGATGGTATAATTTCATTATTGGATATATATGAATATTTATATTACTTGTGTAACAGTTTTCTCAGTAGTGGGATAACAGCTGTTTGCTAATCATCAAAACATTGTATTGGATGTTGCAGTTATAAATATTTTTATTTTGATAATTGAATTACATTGTGCATGTAGATTACATATTTTTTATCACATCTATTCATATTGCTAAATCCTTTCTGTTGAAAATGCACTTGTTCTTCATACATTTTTTCAGTACAGTTTATTGCAGGATAATTTCAAGCAATATTTTAGATATTTCTGAAAAATTTCAGCTTCTTTTAAGTAATTAAAAATAAATCCTGTGTCAAAACGTTTCACTTTTTCAGTAACCTGAGGCTTCACTAAAGAGGTTAAATGTTTTCATATAAGATTTGTTTTTAGCTGCCTGAGAAAAGCTGAAGTTATTTAAGAAGTTTTGAGGTATACTTGTGTTCCTTTGTTAAATATGTTCTTTATTTTAGATGTTTTTAATTTTTAGTTTTGTTCATGATTTTTTGTTTCTTTTAATTGTGGGGTTTATTACTTAAGAAAATAATTTTTATATACTTAATATTGTCAACTGGTGATAATCTTGCCAATGTACACATCCTTAAAAACTTTAGGTGCTTAAATTTTTGCTTTATATTCAATCAGTAGATGACAATGTTCAACAGATAAAATTAACAAAAATGATGGTAGATTAAGTGTATTTTGTTGTTGCTATCTACATAGCTTGTAACTATATTAGGAGCAAGATCAAATGAGGTTCAGAGTTATTGATCAAATAAACATCCATTTAAGACTGAGAGTTTTATTAAATACTAGCTGCTAATGTATCTTTGTACATCTTTGGTTTATATTTGGTGGCACCACATGTACACAAACAAAATGGATCATTTTGTGTCATTACAGATGGATGTGAATTTGTATAAATTAAAGAGCATGCCACAAAAATAAAAAAATTACACAATAAGATGATGCCTCTTTTCCTTTGTATCATTGAAATTCCTTAGATATATCAGTGACTATAACATTTATTCCCTTAGTTGACCCTCATAGAATTTTAGGTAACAGTTTAGGATTTAACAATTACTAGAATTGATGATGATCTATTGAACTTGTGTTTTTAATGTGTTTTATAAATGTAAGACTTATTAAAATATTTCAGATTTAATTGTATGTATAACTGTAGGTTGGTATATCTTCATGGACAGTGGCACAGGAAGTTCTGGTGATACAGCAATCATAGAAAGTGAAATGTTACATTATAGTCCAAAGGCCTGCATATCATTTTGGTACTTTATGAATGGTCTGTGTAAGTATTAGAGTTTATTATTGTACAACTTTTAACTTGCATATTTTCTAGGGATTAAGACACATGTAAATTGTTTATTTTTTGAAACACACATTAGCATGCTTTCATCAGTCTTTGTAAGTTTTTACAAACTGTTGATATGATGTTAGCTGCAACTTGTAGGGCCTGAAAAAAAAAGTTTTGAATTGTATTAAATGCATCCTTGTATCTTACTGAAGTTAATAAAATTCAGGGAAAATTTTTTGGGGGAGAATATTTTCAATATAAGTATTTTTAGCAAGGGTGGTATTTTCAAGTAAATGTTATGCATATTCAGTTAGTTTGAATTACAGTCCAGACCCACATACCAGTCAACGCGATATAGTGATCAGCCCTTAATTACAGCCATTTTGGCACAGTCTCAAATATTTCCTTCTATATTATGTTTGTAAAACATTCACTACTATTAGCACTCATATTGCGGTCAACTTGGCTTGTGGTCACCTGTTTCCCAGTCCCAAGCTGTCTCTTTGAACTCAGTATTGCAGCCACCCAGGCCACTAACATATATTGACTGATAGTAGCCACATTTTGTAGGTGTTACAAAGTAGGTGATCATTGATGTTCCCAATTAATGGCATGCTAATTCTACCTGATGTATCACACCTCATACTGCACTGATGATCATACAATCATGATCAAACAAACAGTATGGTTTCACACTCCTTTAAACTTTGTCATTTGTAACACTTCTAGTTTGTTGTCTCCTTGGTCTTCTTGTGACAAAAAGATTTATTCAAATGGGAAAATTTGCACATTCATTTCAAGTTTTGTCACCTTTCCCTCTATTTTGCAATAAATATAGCTTTTCCAGCCAAATCAGTTGTTTCTGTTCTATTGATGGAAATGGCAGAAAGTTGTTTTTTCATTATTTGAGTATCATTACTGTCAGATCTCACCACATGTGCACATAAACAACAGTACCACTCCTTGGCCTCTGATACTGTGTGGTGCAAGGAAAAGTCATGAAGGTCATCGTAGTTCTAAGGTTAGCATTTATCTGTTAATCAAATATGCAGTATAGAATTTTATTTTTTAGACAAGAAATACAAAAATAGGTATGTAAGGATGTTATTACAACATTCTCTATTAAACAGGAACATAGAAAGGTGAGTATTATGGGTGAGTTGTAGGGGTATGTACTATGCCTTTGAGGCCTCAGTCTGATCCCAGAGTTGACCGCATACAGTAACACCCAGTAATACGGCCACCTCGCTATGCAGCCATTAATTGCTTAGACCCACAGCTGACTGGATGAATGGGGCTGGACTGTATAGTAAAAAGTTCTACAGGAGTTTTGTGATTATACATGTAATGTCTGTCAATTTTTAAATATGATGTTAACTCTCACTTCTCTGATTAAAGACATTGAACAATAATGAATAGAATTGTCTATTGCAATATTACAAGAAAAAATAGCTAATATTATTTTTAAAAACTATTGAAAGGTCATCGTAATTTCAGACAGTATTTTTCATCATTTTCTTGTACAGTATAAATTTTGTTTTCTCTGGTACTGAATATGGACACCAAAGAAATTATTGTAATATCATATTCCCCTTTTTTATGTTTTTGTGAACTTTACTTATGGAACTCAAAAGTTGAAAACATTATCCAATGACAATTAGCTTTTGAAATAAAATAGAGAACTACAACAAATTAAAAGTATAAAAAAGAAGAATTAGGCCTATAACACATTGGCTTACTTTTGGTACTGTAACTGAATTAGTCAACTTTTGAAACTTTACTTTTGATAACAACCTCAATCAATATTGTAACTATTATAATTAACTTTGAGTGTTCAGAGATACATAGATAAATAGACAGATACTGTCTTTTCTGTTCAACTATTATAATAATTAAGGTAACTGAAAACAATTGTAACGTTAATTCATATTCAATTTTTTGTTCAGCTGAACATATGACTTTTAAAATAAAAATATGATTTTAAAATTACTAGTTAAATCAGGTTTATTTCTAAAATCGAAAAAGAAAATACACTTATATATGCTGCTCAAAATAATTAAGGAATAATTAGAATTTTCTTTATCTGTGACAAGGAACAACTACAGTTATTACATATTCTTAAAAAAGTAACTTTAGCAGTTGAAGTTGTATTGAAAATACCACTGTACTGGCTTAAACATTTAGGTATAAAAAAAAAGAGTATAGAAAACATGGTTTGTGTACAAGTTAGTTGGATAACCATAGATTTTAAGCTTGTTTTATAAATGAACTAATATATATATATAAACACACACACACGCGCATACACACTTGGTGCATAATTTATTAATCGTATTAAGATAAGCATTGAAAGATAATTTCTTCTTTCTCATTCTGGTCCCAAACTTATCACTGTTCTGTGTTACTGTAGTGTTGTGATACTAACAGTAGATTGTAGCTGCATATCTCTGAGATTTAAGTAGGAGAATTGTAGCACTTGCATTTTGAAACCAAGTTAAGAGGAAATAAATTTTGTTTGAAAATAGAAATATTGAAATTTAATTATGTTTAGCAGAACTGTAAGAGCTTAAATGAAAATGCGTGTGATTAAGATGAATAATGAATGTTAAGTGTTTATGCTGGTCATTTATATAAAACTTTATATAACATAGCTGCATAAGTCAGTCTTTTCTTTTATGTTTTATAATAGTGTCTGTTGTCAGGCAGGGTCATGTGGATTATTCGGTAGAAAAAGTAATGCAAGGTTCAGTTCACCTTAATGATAACAAAATCATTTTTTTTCTGACTATGAGTTCTTCAACCTGTAAATGTGTACAAGTTCCACAAAGCAAACAACAGGCCTAACTTAATAATAAATAATGTGTCAATAGAAAGTACAATCCTTCCATGGCTCTAGTATATCATTGAGATGCAAATTCAAAAGTTACAGTTATGAACTAACTAATTTGCCGACTCAATGATTAGTCAACAATCTATGCACGTTATGAGAATAACTCTTTTTTTCTTTTTTTTACTGCTGAAATAATTTTGGAAACTCTTAAAAAATCCTAGTTTTTGAGCTAATGTGTTCATCACATGATGTTAAAACTTCCTCTGTCCAACAAAAATATATATATAAATGTCTAAGTAAAAAAGAACTACCTACAACAATAGGTTACAATGCTTATGGTAAATCTTGATATATTTATTATGTACATATATATATTTTTGTACATGATTTTATTGAATTTGAAATTTAGTAACATTTGTTGTATTGTATACATGATGGTTTATATGTACTTTTTGAAATTATGGCAAATTATGATACGAAAAGTGGAAAACTATAGTTACTTTTGTTAGCTCTTATCCATACTGCAAAACAAAATGTATTAAGTTAGATTTAGAATATATATTTTTTATTTATTCCTTTCAATTTCAGTTGTCGGAGATATAAAAGTCAGATACAAAGTATATCCTGAAGGAACAGCCTTTGATGTTGATGGAATAAAAGGTTCTCAAGGAAAAGGTTGGAAACTGTTTAAAAGACTGGTTTCAGATCTACCACAGTCATACAGGGTGAGCTGTATTGGCTATTACTAAGTGCAAAACATTTACTTTTCAGTGCTATAAGTTATTTTAATGTTTTAAATTTAAATTTACCACCTGCTGCTACACTGCTGTTCAACTGTCACATATTTTCTTCACTTGAAGAAATAGTACATTGTATTTCCTGTCTGTTTGCTTCTCTAGTATTCATAAAGACAGCTTTATACTGCATTAAGTAATAGCATAAATGCATGTAGCATGTTTTAGCATTAGCTTTATATCTATACTTTTAAGGGAATTTATATAATTTGGGAATCCAAAATTACATATATCTCACCAAAATCTTTTAAAACCTTTCTGTTTCTGTATGTTACTCTCTTTATTGGTTTTTAACATGTTTATAAAATTACCTGAAGTTAAACCTTAGATTTTGCATAAAGTTGTAATGTAAAACTTTTTGTCAATGAAGACAAAATTGTTGGTAGCTTTACTGGAAAAAACGATGATGTATTTACTATGTGTGTGTATATATATACTAAATATTCAGTCTCGTTTTTTAATCAGAACTCGATGATAGTTGTTAAGAATGATTTTCTTTAAATATCTTATGTGTTTATGAATTATGTCTTCAACTATATTTTTTCATTATCTAAATTAGTTTTTTTTCACCAGCTATGTAATTCTTTTAAATAATTTAATAATTATCATTTTTGTACAATTCCAGTAAATTTTATTACATTCTTAAAATTTGGAACCTTTGTTCATTAAGAGCCATATATCATCAATACCTCAATCTTTATGATGATTGATATTACATAGGCACACATTTTATGGATTCATTGCATTTTCCCCCAGTTGGACAGCAGTTAGTCTATGGCCACTAAAAACTGTGGTTTCATTCCCAATGTGGCTTTGCTAGAAAAACAAAACTAAAAACATTTCTTACATCATATTGTTTGTACATTGTATATGATTCATGCAGCTATGATGGACATATTTTACCAGTAACATATTAATTGCTACATTTGTTACTTAAAGTTAGATACATTATTAATTGATAATTTTTTTGAGAACTTTCAGGTGACAACATTTACATGGAATATGAACATCAATAAGTCCTTATTTATTTTAACAAACTGTACATCTAAAGTGAATAATTATTAAAAATGCTTTTAAAAACTACCTTATTTTTTCATTTCGAGAGAAACAGCATCAACTTAAGCTTTATAACAAAAGTTTTAGTGATCTTTAAAGCTGGTTCTCATTGATCAGTAACTGTCACATCTACAACACATAAATACAGTAATCTAAATCTAACAGCTTAAGCAGACAAGATTAATACAAAAAAGCAAGTCTAATGACTTAGTGCATCACTTACAGAAATTTTGTGACATCCAGTTTTTGACACCATAAAAATTACTGAAGTAACATGCAATTAAAAACCATTACTGATCATCTTTTGAAAGGTTGAAAAGCTTATCTGGTTTCTTTAATTATAATTTTTATTACTCTGATTATGCTGCATACTTTCCAAGTATCATAAATGAATTAAGTAATATTATGCTACTTCATTATTATTGAACTTTATCACTGAGCTGCTGAAACAAAGCTAGTGCACCAAGTTTACTTGGAACATTTATTCTCATTTTTAGATATAAGTAATAATGTATTGTTTGTAGTGTAATTTTGCAAATTATATTTAAAGAAGTAGTGTATAGTCTGTCAAAAATGACTGGATAAGTACTCCCACCCTCACATCACAGTAAAATTTAACCTCACATTTCATAGCTACCTGAAATAAATACATTTTGTGAAATCAAGCCTGACCAACAAAGAGACAGAAAAGTGCAGTCAAGGCACTCAAACGTTGGTAAATTCTTTTGTGAGACAATCAAAATTAAGAACATTCATGAAATGAATTCATGGCATTTTCATATAATAATAATTGGTAAAAATCAATAGACTAACAACTTTTAATATTTAGAAAAGCCAGTGCATTTTGGTAATACAACTTACCAACAATGGTTTTTATGTTTAATATTGTTGTTAGTTTATGTACTGAAAGTATAAAATGAAATTATAGACAACAATACTGGAAAAATATTCGTTGATTTCTTGATTTAGAGTGTCCAGTGATTAAAGAGGTTTGTTTTTATTAAAAACGTTGGTGATATAACAGAAAATAGCTTAATTCAGAAACGAATTTAGTGTAAAATTGAACTGATATTTTTACTTTCATGACAAATTTTATGCACTTGGTTCTAGGTTAGGTGGTACCACACTATGTCTTTACTTTAGGCTTATTATACCAACACTCACTACACTTATAAGGCTTCATAGTACCCCCCCCCCCTTGCACCCCTGTCACTAAAATCATAATGGGCAGACAGTAATCGACCTATTATATCTTGATAAATGCATTTTGGCTTTTATGACTCCTCCTTTTTCCAGAAATCAAGCATGACCCACACTGGCTTTTATGTACGTTAGATTATCAGTGCTTATTAAACATAATAAAATAAGGAAATGCTTTTGCAGATGTGTTTTCCTTGATAGAAGTGATTGTCTTCTGTATTTATATTGCAAATTTTCTGATAGTGATTTTTTTTTACTAGTATATAATGAAATAGCCTATTGTTTGGAGTTGACTATTAGCTTGATCAAATTTTATGTGACTTGTCATTTTATACCATGTTTTTTTATTCCCATTATCAGATCTGGATTATTGGGTCTCCTGGATTTTTAAGTGCGAGTGGATCTATTGCCATCGATGACATCAGCATTTTTGACAAAACTTGTGATGATCCTGTCATTACACAAGAGCCACCAACGAAATACCGTATGTAACTTTAAGACTGAACAGTAATTTGTTGAATGTTAAAAAATTTACTTTTTGATAAACAACAATTTTTTTACACAATTCTAAAAATAAGACTGCTCCCAGTTTCAAAAATACAATAAAATACTTAATAACTAAATAACATGATAAAAGATGGTGCAGTAAAACATGTCAAAACATGTTAAGCGTATGAGACTGTTTCCAGTCTCATCAGGGTATTTGCCTTTATCCTGTATAGTAAGTTATTAAGTATCTTATTGTATATTTGAAACTGGGAGCAGTATATAACTTTAAGACTGAACAGTAATTTGTTGAATGTTAAAAAACTCACTTTTTGATAAACAACAATTTTTTTACACAATTCTAAAAATAAGACTGCTCTCACTTTCAAAAATACAATAAAATACTTAATAACTTACTATACAGGATAAAAGCAAATACCCTGATGAGACTGGAAACAGTCTCATATGCTTAACATGTTTTACTGCACCATCTTTCATCATGTTATTTAGTTGTTTAGTATTTTATTGTATTTTTGAGACTGGGAACAGTCTCATTTTTAGAATTGTGTATAAAAATCGTTGTTTATTTAAAAAGTGTTTTTTTTTAACATTAAGCGTTTACACAAGCACCAATGAATTTTAACAGAAATTTGTTTATCATAATAAAGATTTTATGGCTTAATTTTATCACAACTTTAAATTTATTAGACCATTTGGATTTGGATTATAGGAAAATAAGGTTTTTAGTAT